ACTGCATGATGTTGAAAAATAGAAATTGACATTGGTTTTATAAGCCAGCTACATCGGGTAAGATAGCTACTGTTTATAATCTTGTACCAAAACCCAACTTAGAAAATATCTGAAATTCCCTTTAACTGACTGAATTAATTTATAAAAAAATTCTGAAATGTCCCTTTAAACTGTTTAAATTCACTTCATGTCAAGAGAATATCCCTGACCTTTGAAACCAAACCACACTTAATAAAAAATAACTGAAACGGATTCACCTTTATCTTTTTCTGGTTTTATTAAACAACACTAACCACACAGACACTGATAATTACATTAGAACCCACTCATTGAGGCGAAGATTTGCTGGAACCGGATTCGGCCCCGTCGGTTCACAGCCGCCCCATCCTATCCGCCACTCCGACTCGACCAGAACCGACACACCAAATGTGTGTCACGAAACATAAAACAAAAGGAGAAAAATATATATATATATATGCGTTAATAAATTCAAATTGGGTGTTGCTTGGAAGTGAAGGCCGAGTGCTGCTGTACCTGCGATAAATCCACTACGAAGTTGTTAAAGTCCAACATCTACGGCTTGTTTTCGGGTCCACCAGTCGACCGAGTTGAATTTGAGTGGGTAAACGGTCTGTTTCGCCGTCACAAACTGTCGCTTTCGCTCCATAAAACCAACAAACCGCATTCGCCCTTGTCATCACCTTCACCGACTGGTTAGCTAAACGTTAGCTACACAGGAAGTGCAACTCGCGGTAGTGCACATGCGTAACCGGAGATACAGGACCACAGCACCAACTAACGTCCCGGCATGATCACTGCAGGCCAAAAGTTAACATTTGGGTTTAAACAGACGTCTGTCAAGGGCAAATTAAGACTTGACTTTTAATTTAAAGATTTGATTTGAAAAAAAAAAAAAAACTTAAAAGACACTAAGAGATTTATAACAGCAGTTGAATGGAATTTTGAACGACCCACAAAAGGAGCATTTGTTCAAATTGGGTGTGTAAAAATTAACTACTAACGGCTTATTAAATCTATAAATTAGGTGCAAATTTAACATAATATAATTAAATCCGAGATAGCCACATTAGGAGTTGACGGCTCATTTTAAGCAGACCTAACAATGTACATTTTAGCAGACTTAGCACTGTTAAGGCATTAAATATGGATAATACACTAATAGATTGTGTTCTCGTTTCATTTACTGTAGGACAATTCAGACCGTTTAAGCTCTCACGACTTTTGAGTTTGACATGTGTGGTGTAGGAAGTTCTGCCTTAGATTCTGAGTTTAGTGTTAATGGTGTTTTTTGGCTTTCACTATGAGGTGCTGATTGAGACCCTTGTGTTGGTCAGAGTGCAGTTATGACACCGCTGGAGGTAGAGGCAGATGGATTTTCAAGAGATGGAAATGGCTATCAGAGAGCTCAATCTGAGCTTTATTTGTCTATGTGTAACTTGAGATGGAGAACTTTACAATTGGATTTGTTATTTGGGTAGTTGACTTAGCTATTTAAGACTGTTTCTGTTAAGTGCCCTGAGACAACTTTTTGTTTGGTTTAGAGCTATAAATAAATAAATTAAGAATAATATCAGGATTTAATTGGATTACTTTATTTTTAAGCTAATCTTAAGTTAAAAAAAAGTTGAATTGAGTGAGTTCTTGAACCAGGAGGGATGTTCTGATGACACATAATGCACAATTGTTCATATAAGTTGCTGAAAACCCACATGCAAGTTCAGTTTGACGTCTTGGACTGGTTCTGAAATGCCCAGTAGTGTATCACATGTGCAGGTTGATGAAAAACTACGCTGACAAGAACTTGTGACTTTATGAGACCACATCCTGTTCTGCTACCAAACAACAACAACAACAAAAATCTAAGTCTGGAGCACATGGACTTGAACTGAAACAAAATGCTGATGTCTGTGGACCTGCACTTTTGTCCAGGAGGGGGGAGCTGGACTAACATCATGATGAACTCTTGAACTCTGAACTTGCAGTATCTCCAAAGACACACTGGAGAGAACCTGAAGCGGGCTGTCACTATACGTCTGGATTTGAGTGTCGACTTTTGCATGTGATGTACGGTGGTGCGTTCACTCCGGATCCAGGATAGATGCTGCATGCTGCTCTGACATAAATGCACCCACATAGACACACTTTTCAAACATTACAGCAACATTTTGATTTTGAAAAGTAGTATTGTGGTCACTTGGGACACCTGCCTAGTTCAATGACTTTTAGACAAAAAGGAGAGATTTATAATTTTACAATCTTATATCAAAAATGAATAAGGTTACCCCTGAACAAATTATTGGCTTTTCCATTGGGTTCACTTTGTCTTTACAGATTAGACTAAGGACTCAGGGACAAGAATGAAAAAGTGTTGTTTGTATTCTTTTTGGTTAACAAATGTTGGTCTTCAATATGAGCTGGAAAATCTGAATGGTGGTTGATCTCACATTTCCTATAGAGCGCTAATTTGGAAAATAAATACATAAATAAATTATCATGTACAGGGGATGATTCGGTTCACACATAAACAGTAGTTTGGGCAAATACAAAACGGGAATCTTATTAACCAACAACCAAAACGGGAAAACTTTACTTCGATGTTTCTGAAACAAGGCACACTGGTGTACTGTTTCAGAAAAATGGGGAGGAATATAGTGATTGATGTACTGATTTAATAGATTTGCCTGGCTAGAAAATTAAAAAGAGATTCTAATATACAAATTTGATCAACTTCACAACAAAACATTAAGGATGCTTTTTGAGAAAATTCAAGGATGCTTCATCATTTGTGTAAATTAGAGATCTTGATAACCAAAGAATCTCACTTTTATGTGTACAGGACGGTTCTCTTAGGGGGACGCCCCTTTTTCTGAGAAGACTTTTCTGAGACCTTTGTAGACTTTTCTGAGACCTTCGTAGACTTTTGGTAGACTTTTTTTTTTTATACCTTTTTTAGACCCAGGAGAACAATGAAAAGGTGGTGGAGCTATGTTTTTAGATATATTAACTTGACTTGACTTTACTTTACTTTATATGGGTACAGGTTTCACCCCTTATGAATTAACAACAGGAAGGTCTTTCCCTGGGCCTCAGCAAAATCTCGAGTGGCCCTCGGAACGGGTAATGAATATGTCACACAAGATGTATTAGAGGAGACTCAGAGCTTTGTTGTCCAGCTTTGCTCAACAGATTCCAGATTCCAGTACTCCTCAGGAGGAGCCGGCGAGTCTCACTTCAAACTGGGTCCTGCTGAGAGTGGTGAAACGTAAGTGGACGGAACCAAGGTGGACGGGGCCGTACGAGTGTCGTAGTTTGCGGTTAGCAGCGAACCCAGAGTGCAGAACAGGGAC